TATCTATCACTAATAGAGTAGGTATAGCGTATCAGTTACATGTAGGTACACGTTTTATCGTCTATAGCTCTCTTCCGGTTTTACTTGCTCTTATGTTTCTTGGGCTTAAAAACTTTTTACTGTCATTTAAAAAAACGCGTTTTTTTTGTTTTTAGAAAAACAACAAGTTAACAACATTTGGGACACTCGCAAAATTTTACAGTAATTCTATCGAGAATTTCTTGATAGAAAACTCATTAACATATATTTAAAATCCAACTAGGGATTCCAACTTTCATGATCTTTGGCTACATAAGCTAATTACGACATCAAAAAAACAGATTTTATATAACAGCTTTTTTATGCTGTATATCGGGTTGTAGTAGTCCCACAGTTCAGTTTCAGTTTCCACCCCTGACTGTCTCTTGAATATCTACAATAAAATTCTGAGTCGAATCTGTACATTAAATATTTTTTGGAAAATCTTATTGAACTAGTCATTATTATCGATACAGAGGCCGAATCTATAGTTTTTAGAATTTTCGCCCGTTTGTCTGTCTATCTGGGAGCGCATCAAGAAAAAACCACTGGACAGACTTTTTACTGCGGGAAAATATCTTATCTCTGAGAAATCTATACTAAACCTGAATCCAACGGAGCGACGGTCATCGCTAGTATATAATAACTATATTAAAAACAGTACCTAAGTGTAATCTGTACATGAAATATATTTTTAAAACAATGACTGTTATTTATTGTATTCAGAATATAGACTCTAAAACAACAATTGTTGAAATTTTTGACTGTTTGTCTGTAGGTTTTTCACGCAAAAAATACTGAATGTGTTTTAACTAGATTGTTTTGTGAAATAGGTATGTAGTGATTACTTATTACTCGGGTCAATATTTGGGATACCTTTACAAAACAGAATAATTGGTTCTGCCGAGTTGTCATTTATACTATCAGTGATTTATTACACAAAACTGTTAGTGGCAGGGCATATTTGTGTCCCCCCCAACGTGCGTTCACCTTGTCGTGGTGGGGGGGCTCAGTAGTGCCCGGCAATCCAACCGGGCGCGAAGCCAAGAAACGCACAGGGAGGTGGCCCACTTCGGTGGGCGGTGGGAGGTGGCCCTCTTCGGGGGGCGGTGTACCATGCGGGTTGCTCCTGATACTTCTCTGATAGCAGAGTGGACCTTGGAGCAACCCCATGGTTGTGGTGGTCTGCTTCGGCAGACCTGCCGTCGGGGCGTCGTAGTTGAATGCGTAAGCGATCCTGCGACGCCCCATTAAGACGGGGGAAGGTTTGTTGGGTTTTAGTGGGTAGTACTGGCTGTATTACGCCGGTGAGTCCCACACGTCGTGCGTAAATGCATTTCCCAACGTTAAAAAAAAAGGGCATATTTGTGTGGTGTGTATGGGTGAGTGTGTATGGCCGAATCTATTTTCATGGGAAAATGGTTTTTGGTATTCTCAGCCCACGACCATTCACCATAAGATAGTACTGACACCTCTCGCTGTCTACCCAAAAGCGCGGGTAAAATATTAAAATACATACTCTTACTTTTATTTATTTTTACATTTTCATACATTAAGGTATGAAATTAATATTTTATAATATTTAATCAATCTATACTATCTATACTATAATATTATAAAGAGGTAAAATTTGTGAGTTTGTGACGTTGTAGGGGGTAATCTCTGGATCTACTGAACCAATTTAGATGAAATTTGGTAAGAAGATAGTTTGAGACCTTGGAAAGGATATAGGATAGTTTTTATCCCGGAAATCATCCCTTAAGGGGGTGAAAATGGGGTTGAAAGTTTGTATTGGGAAGCAAGCTAGGGACGAACCCGAGCGAATTCGTCATTTCGTCATATCATTTTTATATAAAAATATTTTAAAAACTATTATTTTAAGGAGATTGTATGCATTCAGCCCTTTTTAATGTCCCACTCACTGCTGGGGGTGGGCCTCCCTTCAAGACGAGGGGGATCAGACCATAGTCCACCACGCTGGCCAAGTGCGGATTTACGAAATATCACATGTCTATCGAAAACTTGCTAGGTTCTCCCAAACATACAGGTTTCCTTACGATGTTTTCTTTCACCGTAAGGCAAGTGATAATCATGTTATAAATGATTCGTACATGAAAATATCAGAGGTGCGAGATCCGGGTTTTGAACCCGCTTCACTACGTTTACCAAGCGAGCGCGTTACCACTGGACTACCACTGCAGAATGAGATTGACCGTATCATAAATTAATTTTGAATGTATTATTATCAAATAAATAATTAGAATTTAATCTACAAATAATTATCTAAAATAATGTTTCCATTAGTATGTAACATATCACGTATTTATATCAAGATAAAAAAAAGATAAATTACAACTGTAATATTATGTAATGTCTTTAGGAAATTAAGAGTCATGTATTGAAGTTTTTTACGTGTCTACGGATTTCATTATATGTTGTTCTTGGACAATATAATATGTGAAATAGTGATTCTATAAAACCGTGCTGTATACTTTATTAATAATATTAATCTTTAACTAGCCTTTTCCTGTGGCTCCGCCCGCATAGTACATTAATCACCAACATATCATATACTAAAACGTTCTCCGAAACACGCTTCATCTTATGGTATGAGTATTATTCCGATCGGTTCAGTAGTTATCGCAGTATAACCGAACAAAAAAATCGACTCTTTTAATTTATTAGCCGGATCTATAGTTTTTTGTTTTTTGTCTATCTGTCTGTGACCGAATCACGAAAAAACTACCAGACAGATTTTGATGAAATTTGGTATGATGATAGCTGGTTATCCGGGAGAACATATAGAATACTTTTTACTGCAGTAAAATATTTCATCTTTATCGTTAATAAAATTTAAAAGTTACGTAAATGGTTTTGTTAAAATATTTTTTTTATATTTAAAATATTACTCAATAATATTATTTGCTGTTTTTCAGTACTCAGAACTGCCTTTCGAGCCGGTGGTAGTTTTCTCACGAACCGATTAGACTGATTAATAATTTGATGATTCAAAAGTTCTTGTACCTACCTACAATTCTAATTGAATGAAGTTATTTTCTTACGATATTACTTCTTGTACATATTATAGTATATATGTACATTGCGTATACACTTTCAAGTTAGGAAATAAATATATAAGGACAAAAAAATTAAAATCTTTTATCATGCTATTACAGCATTAATAAAAAAATATATAACTCATTAGTCTGGCATAAATAAATCAATTGCTTAACCATTGCCCACATAAAATAAAGATGAAAATTTAAAAAAGTTTGTTTAATTATAATTCATTTTAAATGTGAATCTCATATCCCTTACTATTTTAGATACATTAAACTTAATTTCACGAGAGGAAAATTAAACTTTTACTTTTAAGTGATTTTTTTTTAATTTTTCTTCACCTTTTTAATTTTAAGAGAGGAAATCTGTTTAGAAATGAAAATGAAACACAAAACTGTATTTTATATGCATATATTCGGATTCAATATTTCAATAGCTATCAATTAATAATAATATTACAACTTAAGTTAAAAAAAATACACTGACTGTTCGAACGGTACACACTAACTTAGCTATGTTCAAGCATAAAATGTACTATATTTAATTCATTACATTTCCACCTACAATTTCGTAAATTAAATAAAAAAAACCGTTTCACCGTCAAATAAAACGTAATTGCAAAAAATCGGTTCCCAAAAAATACTTGAAATAATCGACTTCAAACTAATTTATTTATTTTTAATATCGATATTACTTTACGATTACCGATTTTTTGCAACCATTCATTTATTTTGTTCAGATTTAAAACAGATAATTTTATATTCTCTATGTTTAAACCTAGTAATCTCTTTGTAACGGCAAATTTAATTTTTGAAAATTATTTTAAACAAATAAATTATACTCGCATCTAAGAATTTGTCACGCAAATTCTGGTAAACTGAATAATTATTATTCTATTATAAATTATTTTTACATTGTCTGTACATTGTTCTTGCACTAATGTGTGTAAACAATTCCAATATCAAAAATATCATAGAGTGTTAGTCCTGAGCTCTATATATAAGTTTACGGCGATTTCTTAAACCCATCTTACTTTGACCCCGGAACGAACCCATTATACGAAATAAAGAGCTTAAAAGAATAAGACTCTATGATGACTAATTAACACTTAAAATTATCATCTACACATTTCACATATACAATAATAGCACGCACATTTACAAATTTCATTTAAAAATAAAAATTCTTAAGTATTTTATAATATATACATTAGTAATGAATTTACGCATACTCACCAAGCGTCGTCATACTCTAAAATTATTTTTTAAATACAATAAGTGATATGACTCAAGGGAATGTACAAGCGAAAAAAAATATTTTTTTATATGGCAACTTTAAGCCGACATTAAAGTAATTAGGCCTTTTATGAAAATTGTTTCGTTGAAAGTCGATTTTTTAAGCAGCATTAAATTAAAGTCTTATTTGGGCGAACTGTAAATTAGGAAATGGGCAAATATTAAGATCGTACTTCGAAAGAGGTTTTATTGTTTTTCATGTGATGATAATACTTATGTCATTGGCTGTAAAAACTAAGTAACTTTTAATTTAATTTAAAAAAAGTTAACAGTACGATGGTAAGTTTTGCCCAAAAATCTAAATTACGAGCGAAGACTAACATTCCTTTACTAAACGATTATTCAAAGTCATTTTGCTTCGTAAAGTTCTAGCTTATGTTACTATAGATGAAAACGAAAATTGATATGTACTTACATCGCATTTTGACAGCTATCAAAATTCCGTCGCCATTTTGTTTTAGAGACCAAACAGCGCGAAAATGGCGGCAAAATTTGGACAGTCACTCAAAATACGACTTAAAAAGATGACCATAGAATAAGTACACAAGCAAGCGAACCTTGAATAACTCGTGAAGTGAAGTTAAAATAGGATATTTACAACTACGAAATAAGAGACTAGAAACACTACACCATATTTATTCCGTACTTTTCTGGCGCGAAGTAACTATTTCCGGAATTGGAAAAGTTCGTAATTTGGGATGCTTGAAGCATGCTCAAGTGGGGGGAGTTCTGTGGTTGATTTTCAGGGGATTCTGGACCGGAAGAAAGGATATTGGGATGGGAAGGCCAGGAGGGGGGAGAAGGGTTGTTAAATGACACTTGGTTGTACAGCTGGTTGCCATTTGCGGTTAAGTTGTGTGAGTGACCGTGTGTTTGATTTACCGAAGAACCGTTGAAGTATTCCATCTGGAAATAAATAAATGTATTAGTATCATTAGCTTAAGTTACAAATATAAAAAAGAAATTAAATGGTAATTAATTGTATTGAGTTTACATAATGAGAATAACATATACTTAGTTCATTTTTTAAATTATGGGTTTGCTTTTTTATTTAGACTTCTATAGTACAAACAAATGAACGAACAAACAAAAATAGTTATTTATTAATTCGTGATAATAAATCAGAATAATATCATGTATACATATAATGTATAAATATTTAAAAAACAGCACAAACTTACCTGACTAGGATAATAAGGCGAATTGTACGCGCTCTGTCCATATCCTTGATGGTGATGAGAGCTGGAATAACTTCTTATATAGTCTGAACTCCCCGGCCAATGAAAACTGTTGTAGCTATCTGGATGGTATACGTTCCCTGGACCATTCAAACTTTGAGGAGTTATGGGGGGAGAAGGAGTCGTCATGATTGAGGAGTTGGACCCTAAAGGAGTCAAGTTCCCCGTTAAACGAGAGCTATATTGGTCTTTAACAAGATTACTCCCAAACTTCTCTGAATAGTCTACTTTGCTGGAATAATCTAATCGCTTCGGGCTGTTATAAAGCTCTTGTTTTGGAGTAACGCCGTAATTGTGGACGTTAGATATAGAATCTGAATCTTTGCTGATTCTTAAAGCGTCATTGGAGTTATAGTGATGTGATATTGACAGATTTTTGTTTAATGGTGACGACTCATAATTAGATGGTGCTGCCTCTTTCTTGCAAATAACATTTATTGGGGGACTGACTGAAGTAGTAGGGGTGGGAAGGTTAGGGGATGAGGTGGTGATACTCGAGGAGTTCTGGGTAGTTGTTAAGGAATTGGAGGAGTTTGTTAGGTTTTTGGACGTAGAGATCTTTGATGATGAGGAACTTTTGATAGAGTTAGTCGATGATATGCTTTTGGAACTAGACGAGGACTTGCTAGATATCTGCGAGTTGGACTGTTGTTGCAACTGTTGTCGACACTTTGCCCGTCGGTTCTTGAACCAAACCTGTTAACAAAAGTATATGTTAGAGATATATTTAATGGAGTTTACTTAAATTTTTATCGTCACCTGTTCTACAGGTTAAGGTTTTTGACTCTATCTGGGTAAAATTAAAGGTCGGCGTTATTAAAAGTCATATACTTGTACCAAACGTATTTAAGTGTTAAAAATGGTAAAGGAATCACAGTGGCTATGGAGTAAATCATTCAAGAAATTCAAGAGAAAAAGTTGTATATTTAATGTAAGTATATATATTACATATACATACTCGTATGTCAAACAATTATTGCAAACAATAGAAGTTAGAACCACTACATTACTTATTTTATATTTCAAAAGTCAACGTGAGATTGTCTATATCAGTAAGGAAAGTACACAGAGGGCAAAGACAGAAATAAATCAGTAGCAAAAATGTTCCGTGCGTATACAAACCACGCGCGGATTATCGCCCTCGCATTGTAACGAGTTAATAAGTTTTGTGAAAAAGAGCAAACAGCGAGGAACAGATGTGTGCACCCGCCATTTTGTAATTATGCATCGTTTAGTATTTTTTTTTAATATTACTGAACTTATGCATAGATGATAAATTATAAAGGTATTGCATTTTATGCATTTTTTATCAAGTAATAGTTCATTACATTATTTGTATTTTTAATTTCCTTTTTTATTTTGATTAAAATAAATCAACTGTTATCTCTTTATTAATAGAACTTAACTGGCTCGAATTTTTCGTTAATTTACTTATTGAATATTTTTATGAAATCTATATCTTGTTTGAGATGCAGTTTTACTAACGATGACAATGAAGCAAAGTCTTATTTATACAATGTTTTTAGAGAAATATTTGATGTACAAAATATGTTAAATCTTCCAGTAAGTGCTATAAAAATGCGACATAAGTGAATATAATATCTCGACTAATATTATAAAGCGGAAGAGATTATTTTTTAATTGTATGTTCCAACGAGTAAATCTTCTGGAATAACTTTTTTAGAAATGTCTATTTATTAATCAAAGTCTATCTCACGCTACGATCCTTAGGAGAGGAGTATTTTTTTTATTTATTTTAGGGAAACAAATAGTACAATATTACATAAATAATAAATAATAATATATAACACATAAACCAATGAAATTTCCACATATTAAAAAATACAAATAAGAAGCAGACCACAATGATAATATGAAAAACAAAAAGCTAAACACTAAACTAAAAATGTGTAAAAAAAAATTACATAAACAAAACTATGCAGGCAAAGGACGTTTAATAATATTTATAATTAATTATAAAATTAAGTGTTGAAATCCCAAAGCAAAATACTTAAAGTGTGTAAAGCATTACTAAACCGAAAATAAGCTGGTGTGCAAAGAGTAATGTAATAGAGCCCTATAAATAATATGTAACGACTGCTGTCGATCATTGTAACATCTGTCGATATATTGTGGTTAGAATACGATATATAATATGTATTATTTTTATTATTTACTCAATTTATATATTTAGAATAGTGCTGAAGTGAAAATGTAAAGATTTAAGAGAAGAAAATGACTCGGGAAATCAAGTTTACATGTAGTGACAAGTATTGACTATATTTAATTTAAAATATAACATGAAATTAAATTGATCACTAGTTAGCGTAAGCTTTTATTAAAATTTGAATTTTAAGATTAGAGCTATAAATAAATAAATATGTTGGGACATCAACACACAGCACCATCTAGTTCCTATGAGGCTTATGTAATGGATACCAGATAGTTGATACACTACACTTATAGAACTTTAAATACATACATATTTGTTATAAATATAAACACCCATGACTGGAGTACAAACATTCGTGCTCATCACACAAATGAAGGCTCAGAGTGGGAGTCGAACCCGCGACCGTCGGCACAGAAAGTAAGGCCACTATAAACTGAGCCAAACGTGTCGTCAAAACAACAACACATTATAAAACAGCATTTGCAAAATAACATATCTATATAATAATAACAATCAGATTCATAACTAAACTACGCTCAAACGAGGCAATTAATCGTTATCTGTGGATGCGATCAGAACCAATTACAGCCTTGCACAGATTATAATCAAGAGAATAGACTAATGACCAAGATGGCGGAGTTTGAAATAATGAGTGAATGGAAATTTTAATCCCAGTCAGGAGTTTTTATAGCATGTAAATGATTTTATTGTTTACATCATAAATTTTAATATTCACTGTTTATTGCGATAGCCATAAATAAAAATATATGTAAAGTAAGGTAGGTAAGTGTGAATTAAAATAAAAAACGTTCTAATTACATCATAGTACCAATTTTTATTTTTTTTGTTTTGCAATAAAAGTCATAGGGAGGATTATACGTGTATTGATTTTAACGATTACGAGTATTAAATTTTAACGATCCATAAAGATCGCCATTTTTTATTTTTTTGTCATTCAAATGAAATCAAAGTAAAGTCCTCGTTATGATGTCAACATCACTAAACAATGGTTGGGATTAAATGATTCGATTTTCAAATTTCAAATTTGGAACGCATAATTCGATTGCGCGCTAATGCCCTATCCGTGTTGGTATAAATTGAACGTTTGAGCGAATCAGCGTTCAGTGAGACGTGAGCTTTTGACGGGGAAACGTTTGGAAAGTTTAATTTTAACCGACTTAACAAAAACTTGTCATTTTGTCTTCTATCTGAGTAAAATTGGATGTAATTCTGTACGCGAATTCTCCATTACTTGCATAAAATATTGTTGCCCGAACTCTTAATTTTATAGACTACCTTTGTTCTCATTCAAACTTAAATTGAGCATTTGGTGTATAAGAAAAAATCTTCAAGTCTCAAACTAGAGAATAAGATTGAGTAAAGATTTATATTATAGGCGAAATTCGCAAAAAACTGTCAAGGTTGGAAATAGTAGCGTGTTTTGTTTTTAGTGTTACTATTCTCGAATTTGACATTTTACGGATTGTTTACTTTTTCAAAGAATAAGGAAATTTTTATATAGGTATTAGTCGTTAGTTTTTTTTAATATTTTGTATTTTCAAGCATTAGCTCTCTTTCCCTTAAAAGAGATATAGAATAATGTTAGCTTATTTATGTTTTTTTCTTTATTATAATAAAATCCGTTACCCATTTTTATTTATTAACATTTATTCACTTATCAAATGAGTATTCTATATCCTAATATTTGTATACTGTTTTTAAGCATTATATATTATTTTAAATCATTATTGTTTGGCTTCGTGTTTAGTTCTATGACACTATCCATATTCTTACTTAGTTTTAGGACGGATTGTATAGAAAAGCAAATGAACCTAAATGAAATGTAACTGTAAGACTGAAAATATGGTAATATAATATTTACTCTTTTTAATACAAAGACTTACTTATAATATCATTTAAGGCTTCAGTCACTATATTCTGCACGCTCCGTGTATATGTATTAGTCGGAGCATCTAGCACAAACATACCTAACACTGCACCAAAACCGTATCGATAATGAATATTTTACTATCGACTAATAACTTTAAAAATTTAATCGATTATAAAACTTTTAACTTGTGGATGATTTGTCAATCGCTTAGAATTACGGTTGATACTCCATCGAGTCTTAGGTTAATTGAAACTTATTTAATACTAACGACCCACCCTCATTTCGCTCGAGTTCGTTCTTAGATGATACTTTAAATTGATATAACTTTTTTATTTATGAACCGATTGAAATAAAACAATGACTAAATGTTAAGTGAAACTTACCTCAACACATAAGTGATAACCGCACCCAAATCTGTTAAGCCGTTTCTGAGATTAACGCGCACAAACGCACAGACAAACAGACAAAAATTCTAAAAATAATTGTTTTGGGGTCTATTGCATTAATAAAGACCCATAATAATATTTTTTCTCAAATATATTCCATGTACAGACAGCTATCAGTTACAATTTTATTATATGTATCGATTATAAAGCCTTTAATTTGTGGGTGGTTTGTCAATCTCTTATAATAATTATGATTGATACTCCATCGTGTCTTAGGTTAATTGAAACTTATTTAATATTAGTCAGATTTGCCTCGTGTCAGATAAAATTTTCGGTTTTTCATAATTATTTAAAAAGATTATGCAAATGACGCGTGATTCCGACTAATGAAATTAATTTATTAAATTAGTTTGGGTAAACACCGTCTCTTATTGTTAAAGAATGCGTAACGCTAATTATAGCTATTAGAAATTTAAAATTTTCCTAAGTAGCTGAGTATTACATAATGTTCTACGCAGGATAGCTCAATAATAATAAGTAAGCAGGAATAGAACCCGTTACCATATATTTTTTTTTAATTATAATAAATACTATGTACCTATATATGACCTCGTATGTATTTATTTACTATCTCCGCTTTGGAGTTATAGGAGTCTGCAAATTTATACGTTTTTACTTAAGTCATGATACATAGGCCTAAAAGTCTATACTAATAGTATTATAAAGAGGTAAAGCTTTTGAGTTTGTGAATTGTGAGTTTGTGACGTTGTAGGGGGTAATTTTTGGATCCACTAAACCGATTTAGATGAAATTTGGTAAGAAGATAGTTTGAGACCCTGGGAAGGACATAGGATACTTTTTATCCCGGAAATAATCCCTTAAGGGGGTAAAAATGAGTTTACTATAAAGCTAGTAGTTCTACGAACAGTAGACCTCGCGAGCAGAAACTGCATTTCGAGGAGCTATTCTGTTCATCATGTTGAAGATCCTCATCAGGTCTTCACTGAATTTTTATGACACCAACTTAAAGTTACTACCTTTAAAATAAAAAAAGACGTCAAAATCGGATCTCACAAGGCGGAGATATCCAGTTTATCCCCCTTTATGCCCCTTTTTGGAGAAAGTAACCCTCTAATAAAAACTCCCCGACGACAAAAAAAATATACGTTCGTAAAACATGTACATATACCAAGTTTCGTCTAGATCGGTTTGTATGTTTGTATTTGAAGCAGACAAGCTCCGCTCGCTCGGTCAAGACTACAAAAAAACCTCATGTGCCACGCAACCAAATAGACAGACAAAAGTTTTAAAAACTTTTTATGAATCTTTAAGCTTTCATGATAGTTTTCATCTTCATTTTTACTAATATTATGAATGTGAAAGTTTGGATGCTTGAATGGATGTTTCTTACACAATCATGCCAGAACAGCTAAATGAATCTGGATGAAATTTGGCACACAGATAGATTATAGTCTGGAATAGCACATAGGCTAATTATTATCCCGAAAAAATGTACGGTTCCCGTGGGATAGATTTGTTTTAGGTTTTGTAGAGTCCGCTAGTCCGCGAGTTCCGCTAGTAATAAATAAATACTTAATAAACAAAGACCATGTTACTAACATACCTAAGTATGTGTAGTAAAAAATATATTTAGGTATATATTTTAAATAAAGCTAAACCTTACCTGTACTCTAGATTCTGGCAAGTTAATTTTCAACGCTACTTCTTCTCTCATGAAGATGTCTGGATACCTTGTTTTGCCGAACAGCGCTTCTAACACATCGAGTTGCGCGCGAGTGAACGTCGTTCGTTCACGTCTTTGCTTTCTAGGGTTTACACCTGGTGACAAAGAAAAATATATATATAAAATCACATTATTGCTATAAACGCAAAGATATGTGAAGATGTTTGTATGTTTGCTACTAAATAGATTTGGATAAAACTTGGAAAAATGATAGACAATATTCTGGACTATTATATAAGATTAGCGGACCCGACAGACGTTGTCCTGTCTACACGTCTTTAATTTGAAAATTTCAAACTTTTTTTAATAATTTTTTTGGTGAAAATTATTATTCAATTGTGAATCTAAACCATTCCCAGATCCCCTTGAACACACACAAAAAATTTCATTAAAATCGGTCCAGTTGTTTGAGAGAAGTTCAGTGACATACACACTCACAGAAGAATTATATATATAAAGATGCGTATTTAATACATATATCTTAACACCACTTTATTTCTTTACTTAACTTTGATCAAAAATATTAAAAGAAAACACCTTTCGTGATGAGGAAACCAAATGCACAAATTCTTTCATAAAACATGGATAGAAATGTCAAAATTAATATTTTTGTAGATCATACATAATTTCTCTATAGACTTCAAATCACTTTGCCGTCGGGAACTTGATTTGTTATTTATGCTAACCATATTTAAATAAATAACCTATAGAAAAACAAGATGATATGATTTAGATACAAAAAACAATAAAAACATAAATATAGCATTTGATAACCGTTTTTATTAACAATTTTCTTAAATGGCAATGCAAATAACTTTTTATGGAAATAAAAAAGGCATATCTATAACATATAATTTTCGACCTATTAGAATATTCTTAATTAGAATAATAACAATCAAAGTAGCAATCATTCGATAGAAACTAACATTTTTTTATTGATAGCCAACAAAAAGAATTTTATATATAAACTAGCGACTCACCATCGCTCCGCTCGGGTTCAGTGTAGATTTCTCACAGATATTTTCCCCCAAGTAAAAAGTATCTTATATGTTGACCCGGATAACCAGCTATCATCATACCAAATTTCAGCAAAATCTGTCCAGTGGTTTTCTCGTGATGCAGTCACAGACAGATAGACAAAAATTCTAAAAACTATACTTTCGGCCTCTGTATCGATAATACTCAGAGATATTTTCCCGCAAGTAAAAAGTATCCTATATGTTGACTCGGATAACTGGCTATCACCATACCAAATTTCATCAAAATCTGTCCAGTGGTTTTCGTTCTCAGACAGACAGATAAACAAACATTCTAAAATCTATTAGATTCGACCTCTGTATCGATAATAATAATGACTATTTCAATAAGATTTTCCAAAAAAGTATTTAATGTACAGATTCGACTCAGTTACAACTTTATTATATGTATAGATTAAAATATACTAAATATAAGGCGCTAAAAATTAATTTCACGCATCATTTAGTTGCGTGTGAATAAATTTGTCATAAAACATCTAAGAAACCTGTTTTAAATGAATATTAATCGTAGAAACTAATCTACATACATAAAATCATTGTTATTTTACAGCCTGTATATGAAATCCAGTTGAGTTGTCTTAACATGTTATATCTTATTAAATATAAGCATATGAATATGTTTTTATAATTAATTTACATCTATTTACATTTATACAACGAAGGTGTGAATTAAAGAAATATCCGAAGCGTATATTCTAATAGTTTAACATAGATTTTGATATTATATTATTCATAGCATTGCCCGCGGCTCCGCCCGCGTGCAGATGACCAAAAACCAAATTCTTAGGTTTTATATATTAGTATACTCTTACATTGCAGTTTTTGGGTTTTTTTCTAAGAAATGAGGTATTTTCCCGCGGTAAAAAGTATCCTTTATGTTGACCTGGATAACCAGCTATCACCATACCAAATTTCATCAAAATCCCTTCAGTGGTTTTTCCGTGATGCGGTAACAGGCAGACAGAGAGACAGAGAAAAATTCTAAAAACTATAGATTCGGCCTCTGTATTGATAATAATGTCTATTTCAATAAGATTTTCCAAAAAACTATTTAATGTACAGATTCGGCTTAGTTACAATTTTATTATACATTTGTATAGATTATATGCGTAAGTTTGTATATTTGTGTTTCACGCTGAAGGGTCAGGACGGATTTAGATGATATTTATTATACAGATATAGTATAACCCGGAGTAACACATGCTACTAAGGAAGCAATTAAAAACCCTCGACCATCTTGGACCGATTTTCATCAAACATAGCTAAGAACACTCCCGACTAACTCACCTTTCAAAAAAAAATCGGTTCTTATTCATTTAGCTCTTGAAGTCATAATACAAATCAAATAATATCCATATTAATTATCGAAACGTTCGTATTATTCTTTCAAAAACAAACAGAAAGTCGGTCATACAACATTCTAAATATGTAATCCCTTTAAAAAACCTATAGTTATTATTCTAACTTGAATAACATTTCTCAACAAGATGGTTGATGTTTCTGTTAAACAAAATGGCTGACAATTAGAAGATTAATTGCTTGGTTTTTTTTAATGGTGGTCATGGCAGACTGCGTGTCTGCTCTAAATCGTTGCTTTTGTCAAATGTTACAACCTTTTTAGTGAATGAGTAGCTTGACTTATACACATGTTAAAATTAATTATTGACAAATGGGACAGCGTAAAAAGGTAAAAACACTTTCTAAATATGATTACTAAACTGAAGTAATATTAATACGTACTTACATTTCGTTAAGGGATTTGTGTTTAAGCATAATTTGCTTGAAAATTTTACTATACCTATACCTTTAAGTAATTGTAATAAAATAAGACCTTTAAAATGTGATTTATAAAGTATCTAGTAATAGGTAATCATGTGTAAAATCGAGTAAAGATGTTACATATATACCTACAGTAAGTGTCATAGATATTAAAGACGGAGTAGTAGAAAAAATTAATTTCCAGTTTTACTTATTAACAATTACTGAACCATTCATTGTATCAAATTATTAATTCTGATTGTACATCAAAACTCAGGGGCGCAAAATCGTTATTAGACTTTTCAATCGCCCGCTCGCTTACGGATTAAAATAAAATAATACAACATACGTAGCCCGAAACCCCCATTCAGCCATTCCAAACAAACATTTCATACGAAAACTGTCACATTACCTAGCCATAGAAAAGTGAAAATAAATAGACATACATCTATCTCTTTCTCGAGTATACAAAGCAGCTGAGTTAAAAAGGGACAGATGTATTTCAATTGTCATCGTTGACAATGAGGGCTCGGGCTCTAATCCTCGTGACATGGCTTTTTTCTTTTTTTTCGCGTTGGCTGCGATATTATCTTCACAGCCGATTTCTGATAGGGCTACTAGCTTGTTTATGCTCGCTTGTCTATGACTGCTAATGGTATATTCGTGTAGTATCTTGTTACGGTTTATCGATTTAAAAGGTGATTTTGATAAAGGTTAAGCTTTCGAAAGTAGCCTCAGCATGATTCATCTGAAATTATCGAGTACTAATCGATTATAGTATAAATAATAGCATTTTTTGCTATTTAATATGTTAATTGATATCCGAAATGATTGGTATTCTGACATTACCCTGTTGACAGGTAGATTATGAGATTGATCACTTCAATAAAACTAAAAGTTTTTAAACGGTAATCAAACAATAAAATATATCCACAAGTATGTAGATAAATATCGTCCGTCTGTTAGCTAACTTTAAATCGCGAGATTTTAATAATATTAGTACAATTTTATAAAAATAAAATAATACCAAAACATTCTTATTCTCTATTAGGTGCACGTGCATTCTGCGTAGTTTATTTTTCATTTTCATGGAAAATTCCTTGTGTTAAAATATAAAAGCTTTCAAGGCCACATCAAAAATATCATAATAATAATCTAATATTGTTTACAATAATACAAATATCAGTTACATTTATAAATACATATGTACATAACTTTATTATTTATTACAGCTGTTTTAAAGTCAATATTTATTATTATATAAAAAAAAAACATTTACCAAAAACTAGTGAAATTAACTCCTTAACATAATTAGGCATTAAAAATCTCTGCCACGCGCCTCAACACCAAACCACAAGCGTCGTTTGAAACTTATTATTTTCCCGTTTTCCACAGTGTTTGACCCCGGGACGTCCCTACGGTACTTTAATGACGTGTAAAATATTTTAAGGGGAGAGATGGGCACAGATAAAAACAACTTTATTGTATGTATATACTTGCTATTTTGATTCTAGCAACGTTGAACGTCAACTGTCAAATTGACAGGGCGTAATGGACGCCTGAGGATTTAGAAGCGTTGTTTAGTTTGGGGATGCGCCTAATTAATTGAGAAAATTTCTAAGTAAACAGTGAAGAACAGATACATTTGATAAGCGATTTAGTTTTTTAAAGCATAAAGTATTATATTGTTAATCTTGTACGGCGTCCAATCACATATATACCTACATGTAATAAAATTGTAACTAAGTCGAATCTGTACATTCAATATTTTTTGGAAAATCTTATTGTGATAGACATTGTTACTGATACAGAGGCCGAATCAATACTTTTTAGAATTTTTGTCTGTCTGGGAACGCATCACGAGAAAACCACTGGACAGATTTTGTTGAAATTTAGTATGATGATAGCTGGTTATCCGGGTCAATATATAGGATAGTTTTTACTGCGGGGAAATATCTCATCTCTGAGAAATCTATACTAAACGTTAAAACGTAAGTAGGAACGAACCCGAGTGCAGTGAGGGTGAGTCGCTAATTACTATTATATAAGCGAAAGATTATATGTGTGTGTATGTTTGTTACTGCTTCACGCTGAAACAGCTGGACAGATTGTAATAAAATTTAGTACGCAGATAGACGATGGCATGCAATAAAGCATGGGCTACCTGTGCATAATATTATTAATACAAATGACATCTAGGAGCGTAAATCGCTAGTAAATAATAAAACAAATAAAATATTTCATTTCAAACCCGTACATATTATTTAATTAATAAATATCGTGAGTAAAGTTGATAGCAA